CGGCGTCGCCTCCGTCGCCGCCGCCCCCGACAACAAAGCGCCGCACCACAAGGCGAGCGTTCCCGTCTTCTCAGACCCTAGTTTAGCGAATTTCACTCCAGCAAGAAGGGATGCATCAATTCGACATCTACTAGATTCATTTAACTGTGACCTTGACGTAAATCAGCTGTTCACGGTTTCATCCAATCGGGAGCTTGAACGTCCCCATAGTGACGTCACTGTGGCATCATATAAGCTCCCGATAAAACCGCAACAGCTGATTAAGGTAACGTTCATGACTAAATAAATCGTACTATAGTATGTCGATCTTGCGACATCGATGATTTTGTAAGAGACGCAGCGTTCTTGCGTCCACTGCTGCTGTTGATTGATGATTTCGGGCACGTTAACGGCTAAGGTCATTATTCCCATAAGTGTAGTGTATGATTCCCCCTCGGAACGTGGCGGTGGCCTTTTCCCGCTAGATGGTGATATCCGGGGCCGACCTACAGCCGGCTAGCGGGGTTTTCCCCCAACCAAGTATCTCCCAATCTCCCACCAGAGGAGCACCGCCCCAACCGGGACAAGCTCTAAGCTCCCGACCGGTCTCCCGGCCTGTCTAGTTCTGTAGTGCATCTTAGTGTAAGTGTGTGTAAGTAAGGGGTGGGGATATGGCAAGGAACAGAAAAGGAAAGATCGCGTGCGGTTCGGGGCCCGATTTTTTGAGTACTGGTCTGGCATTCGCCTTGTTTTGATCGTAGAAGCCACGAAAAAACACTGATCCGAGCTGCCGGTTGCTAGAATTCTCCTCCAGACAGCGGCTGCATTCGACCTAGCTATCTAGCTAGTGTCGGCCCACCGTTGCCAGTGTTTAAAGCGCCGCATCACAAGCCAAGCACACCTCTTGTTTCTCTGCCATTTCCTCTCTTCTGAGATTCTCATTTACGAAATTTTAACTTCTGGTGTACTAGAATGGATGAGTCTTCACCTGTTCCATCTCAATTTTTTTATTGTTTGTATTTTTGTACTCGTAAAATTCGTCTTTATTCTTACATTTTTAGACTTGTGACACACGAGCGTTACAAAGAAGCGCGTTAAGTAACGCGCATCGTAGATTAACGCTGTATTTTACGCGAAACGGCACACCAGCGCTCTTGGTCGTTCCACATAAGATAAAGTGTTGATATACGACGCGCATTACTTAACGCGCGTCAATGCAACGCTGGTGCGCCACAGGACATACTCATCCCTTCTGACTTAATTTTCTAAGCTCTTTTTATTTTCTTCATCGTGCCTTCTCATCCTTCGTTGGCATACTCGATGATGTCCATGATTGCTGGGCGTACGTGGCAGTGTGAAGTCACTGCCGTGTCTCTGACCGGGAGGTTCTAGGTTTCGAGTCCCGACGGTGGAAGGATTTTTGGCAATAGCTAGATAGCTGGATCGAATTCAGCCGTTTTCTGGAGAATACTAGCGGCCGACTGCTGTGATCGATAGTTTTCGCGATCTTGTCCCCTTCTTCTTCCTTGTCCTATCCTCACCCCTTTCGTGTATACACACACACACACACACACTCGCGCGCGCGCGCTCTACACTAACACACTAAGGTACACACCTGTTGGGAACTGAAAGCTTGAACCGGCTGGGGCGGTGCCACGCTGGTGGGAGATACCTGGTTGGGGAATATCTCCGTAGGTCGGCGCCGAATCTCATTTACCATCGGGGATGATCACCACCACGTACCGAGGAAAACGTATGCACTACACTTACGGGCCTAATGACTTTACTAGTTGACGCACCCGGAATCATCAATCAATCAATATCTTCTTAAATAAATTGATTATTAAAAATAGTTCAACATGTTTATTGCTGTATGATTTACTATCTGTTGAACGAAACACATTTTGACATTGGAAACAATAGGGATGACTTAAGTTAGTGGAATGCAATGATAGAGTACCCATGTACTGTATATGCAGGAACATATACACATACACAGGTACTATAACGAAAACTAAGCAAGTATATTTTACTTCAATTTTTATCCATTCATTATTTCGCATTACGAAGTATTCACATTTAATAATCCGCGAATCCTTCACATCATTAGTTCCATTCCAATCGGCCTGTTATTTAAGGGCTTTGCCGTCACGAGGGGGCTCTATGTAAATGCGTTGTATCTCTGTTACAGAAAGAATTGGGCGCTAAAGACAACGGCGCGGCCGGGAACAACGCCAGAGATAGCGTCGCCTGAAGGCGGGGAAGCAAGTGGGAGGGTGCGGGTGCGCCTGAAGGTGAAGCCGCGAGCGGGCCGGCCGGTCGGTGGGGCCGCAGAGTGTGGCTAGAGGGCAGAGGGCGGATTCTTTTCGTACGAGGTCTCCGCTTTATAGCAACGAAGATTATCCGTAATCGCATACAATGTAAATACGTTCGTGCTGATTTGTTCTCTTCTGGGTTTCTGCTCTTTAATTTAAGGCTTATTCATAGGAAGAATAATATATACGACATACTTTAACGCAATAATAAAGAGAAATATTGCATACCCTCTGGAGTTATTGTCATTTTAGCGTAAACTTTTTTATTTCAGGTTCGTATAAATGTCTCAAGATTTATAGATAACTGTTTGCTATTATTGGAAATATACTCGTACGTTGGGGGAAGTCATAAACTGACAACCCCAAAGGAAAATGCTTTAGAACTATAATGTTTAAGCGATATCCTTTGTTTTTTACATAAGTAGAAAACCATTTAGAATACTGTAGTTAATAAAAAAGCAAAATAGAAAGTGCTATAAACCTATTTTACATGCATTTTTTGAAAAATGCTCCAATATGCCATTTTATTTTCAGAGTATAAGTAAATGTCACAGGTACCAATGACAATCAGATCTCACTTCTTACTTGGTACATGTCTCAATTTTTTATTTATCTTGGGACACCACCATACACAGTTTGAGCCCCACATATTACTCTTCAGACATTTGTCCGAATTGCACGTCTCTCTTGATTAGAAATGAATATAAGTCGTTGCTATAGTGACAGGCCACATAATCATCATCACGAGCAAAGTCCTTATCTTCACCATCCTCTTCAGGAGAGCTGGTAAAAAGCCTTCTTACAATGTGAGGGAAAATACTAAGAATTTTGGATAATAGTTTCGGATCTCGAACGATAGAACAATACATTTCATTTCATGAACGAAAGAATTAATATCATGCAACACTTCAAGATTTTAAAGCGTTATTTCGTTTAACTTTATTAGCGTGACTGTGTTCAGACGGAGAGGTCCTCCAAAGAGGTTGAGGGAGTTCCGGGGAGGGGGTCCACTTGGTTCCCCCTCTCCCTCTTTCACACACACATACGCTCATGATTTCGCGATCACTTTTTGACTATTTGTCCTTGGGAAAATCTTCAACTCTTCATTTCCTTTGATATTAATTTTATTGCATTGGTGGCAGGGAAAATATATAATAATGGCAACGTGCTTTTTTGTTTTTTTTTGTTTCTGCGTGAGCAAGGCGAGCCAAGCAACTTACGCCGTAACACTTACGGGGAAAAGACCTTCCTTCCCTTTCGCACTAATCTGCAGATAAGTGGAAGGCGATAAGATATATGATCTTCCTCTGTCGGCGGTTTAAACCTTCAGCCACCAGGAGCGCGACAAACCAAGGTTTTGAAATGCGACTGACTCAGCTGTTCTTTCTTGACACTTTGTGTCATTTTATTTACGTGAGTATTAATAAGGGATCAATTATATTTGGAAATATATTTCATTTTTATTTTAAATCTTTTTAAATCTTATTCATATTTTGTAGCAAAAATAATTCCAAATGTTAATATATTAGGTTAGGTTTAAACAAATAGCCAATTAAACAAAAATAAATACAATTATCCCTACTTCTTACAGTAGAATGCATCCCTTAGGAAGAGTTTTGGCATTTTCCCAAAAATGCAGACTATTTTCAACAAATGTCATTGATCCAAATAGTATTCAACCCAAACTGTGTGTTGTGGGGAGCGGTCCTGCCAGTTTCTACGCAGCACAGCAGATTCTAAAAGTAATTATATAAAATCAGCTTCATGATATAGTCTAAATATGGTAATTATATTTTCCATGGATTTTTGTGACATAAATGTTTAACATTCAATAGGCTTTGCCAAAGGTGCAGATAGACATTTTTGAACGTCTACCTGTTCCCTTTGGGTTAGTGAGATTTGGAGTTGCACCTGATCATCCTGAAGTGAAGAATGTCATCAACACATTTACAAAAACTGCCCAGGATCCAAGAGTCAAGTTTATAGGAAATGTCAAGTTAGGTCAAGATGTATCCCTTGCAGAATTGCAGAACGCATACCATTCTGTTCTTCTGGTAATTTATTTGAGCCTCTGGTAATTAATTTGAAAAAGAAAACACGTTTATGCATTGCTGACTTGTTAGTTTGATTTTTAACAGGCATATGGAGCAGAGGAGGATCGTTTATTGGGTATTCCTGGAGAAAATTTGGATAATATCCTGTCTGCTCGTGAATTTGTGGGATGGTACAATGGCTTGCCTAACAACAAGGATTTAAAATTTAATTTGAATATAGAGAAAGTTGCAATAATTGGCCAGGGAAATGTAGCATTGGACGTTGCTAGAATTCTTTTGTCACCAATAGATCTTTTGAAGGTATGAGGTAAACATATATTTATATAGTATACTTTATTTGTCTTGTTTTAATTTAACTAATTATTAAATTTTCTATTTACAGAAGACAGATATAACTGAATACTCTCTCGCTGCCCTGGCTGACAGTAAGGTAAAAGAAGTGAAATTAATAGGTCGGCGTGGACCCTTACAAGTGGCCTTCACAATCAAAGAATTTCGTGAAATGTTGAGATTACCAAGATGCTTCGTAAATATGAATGCTGAAGATTTTGCTGGCTTAGATACCATTGTCCCAAGTAATTTATCTCATAATTTATTAATTTACTAATTATGAAGGCTATTGACAGAAAATGAGCTTCACAGAAGATTGAAAATTCAAGATTAAAGAAATTTTTTATTGGTTCAAAAAGGGTTCATTGAAACAAAAATTAAGAATAAAAGTGTAATATATATTAAAATTTAGAATGTAGCAATGTAGTATAAAGTAATTCACATCAGTTTGGTATATATTACAATTTTATTTGTAGAAAATACTTTTTGGTTTATTTTGATTTCTTTAATTTTGTATTATAAAATGGACCCTAAATTGTAGAGGATCCACTAATTTTGGCATTATATGTACAGTTATGCTGTGCTATTTTTTATAGATCTTCCTCGCCCCCGAAAGAGGTTAACAGAACTCCTCATGAAGAGTATTTCAACAAGCAAAGAAACAGAAGCAGATAAATGCTTTAATCCTATTTTTTTCCGCACTCCAAAATCTTTTCAATCAGGAGAAGATGCTTCCTCAGTCGGTGCATTGACAGTTGCTGTCAATACAATGGAGGGTGAAAATGCTGTTGAAACAGATGTTTTAGAAACTATTGAATGTGGTCTTGTTCTAAGAAGTATTGGTTACAAAAGCATACAAGCAGACAGCTCAATCCCGTTTAATTCAAAACGAGGATTAGTAGAGAACTCTGGAGGAGTTATTCAACCTGGTAAGTTATGAAACTGGTACTAGAACAACATACTTCCTCGCGTTATTTCTTTTCACGAGTTTCAAAAATTAGATAATTCATCAAATATGAAACCTACAACACTTTTTTAAGCATCCTGTGCTCTATTAGTAGAAAAACAGAGCTATTTTAAGAAACTTTATTTTATAAATAGCATTAACCTCAAGCCAAAATTACAGATTTTTTCAAAAAAGGTACATGAATATCGTGGAATGTTAATTTATTGATATTTTCAAAAATACAGAGGTTGCCAAAAATGAAACTAGCATCTCCTTTGTTTACCATCCTGTGATGCATACTTATGAGGAGAGAATGTATAGAAAAATCACCAGTATTTTAAACACAATTACATGAAAACTACTTATTTTGTGAAAAAATTGTACATGATTTTATTTCAAGTATTGTTTCTCAAACAACATATTCTCCAAAGAGAAACAATCTTTTATCTTCAATACTTTAGATGTAAAAATTTCTGAAAACTTTGAACTTTTGCAATTTTCAAAAAATTAGGGATTTTAACAAAAATGAGACCAACATCTTTTTTTTTCTTTACACTACATGAGGAGAAAGTGCAATCAAACAGTTGGAGCTGTTTTTGAGAAAATGCTAAAAATTTTGAGGCTTAAAGTAAGTATCCCTAAAAATGAAAATATCTGTTTCAATCTCACAGGCTTCAAGGATATCAGATCAATTGAGGAATATCCATTTTGAAGAAAATCGTCAGAGAGATGGGAGATTTTACCATCAACAACAAGATTTGTCTTCTTTTTGTTGCCAGTGCCTGGCAATAAGAAAAATTGCTGATTTCCAATACACAGTTACAATACTTTCTCTTCTTATGAAGTAAGGGAAAAAGTAAAAATGTAAATGTTTAGGAATTTGAAACATTTTTTTTTTTCACAGCATTTTACAATATTTTTTGATATTTCTTTTCATTACTATCTCTTAATGGCCAACAATTTTTAGATTCAATTTTAGTGTTTATAACTCGCTGTTTAGTTTTATTTCAAATCCTTTCTGGCACTTAAAACCTTCACTAGATGCTGCTTTCTAACATTGCCTCAAATCTAAAGCAATTTGAGTTTGTTGTCAGAACTTCAAAAATCAAGATACAAAGTCCTTATACAGTTTTTGAAATCCCCAAACACTCAGTCTAGTTGTTAAAAGCCGCTGTAAGAGAGATTCATTCCATCTGTAGTTGCGCAGTTTACTACTGGACTTTTCACAAGGGCTAGGTTGGCTTCATCCAGCCCTTTGCAAAAGTGGGCTGATAAAATACTCAATCATGTTCATTTTTGGAGAAGTTTACACTAATATTTTCAAAAATATAAAAAGATAAATTCCTAATATATTTTCAGCATTCAGGAAACTGGAATTTGAGTTTGCGCATGAATCATGTAAAAGAAAGGACTAACTTTCCCAGGTTTATTTTTGATGAAAGGAATATTATTCTTCAATATTTTAAAACTAAATTCCTTCTATTGATATCTTGGAAGGTTAATTCAGGTGTTAAATATGTGTCCTTCCAAGTTCTTCCTTGTGTTAAATATCAAATGCATCTATCTTCCCTTGAAGTGAACCTTTTTGTAGTGATTAGTCCTCTATTTTTTCCTACAATCATTGGTTGTCTTTTGATCAGGGTTCACTGAATATTTTTACAGGATTGTATGTATCTGGATGGTTGGGTACTGGACCAGTGGGTGTAATTTTATCAACAATGACAAATGCTTTCGCAGTTGGTCAGACCATGGCATCAGACATATTGAATAATACTGTTGATGCTTCCATAAAGAAACCTGGATTTGAATTTATAGGATCATTATTGAAGAAGAAAGGTATGTTATGATATTAGATTTCATTAACAACAAACATTTTCATAGAAACTTCTGTTATTAAGATACATTTTTGTACCTATAATTTTTAACGATTCCTTATTGATTCTAGGTATTCAGACTGTGAGCTTTGCTGATTGGGAACAGATTGATAAAGTTGAACTGTCTCGGGGGAAAGAGAAAGGTAAACTTCGTGAAAAGATAGTTGATGTAAAAGAGATGCTCACAATTGCTTCAGGCAAGCCTTAATTACCTTTGGTGATTGTATTATACATGACAACTTGAATAATTAAGGTTACAGTCAACTCATGAAGACCAAATTTCAATTGGTGGTATGGCAATATATTACACTGGTATCATGGCAGCTTCAAAGATCCTGTTACAGTTATTAACATCATTAGGAAGGTAAACCGCAGATAACAGATGTGGGCGAAGTTTGTAAACAAAATGATAACCTAGTCTGTTGTTTGAATTATTCAATATTTGTGTGTGCAGTTCAGTACTTTTTGTAATACCAACTTATAAAAGGAAATAATATAAATATGAAATTCAGTTTATTGGAACAAGTGAATTCATATGCAATTTTTAATTATCTTTTGTTTTGTTTGTTCTTATTGCTTTGTGTTCATATGGCATCCTACAGATATATTCTTGAAATGTCCCAGCAGCTTGGAAGTAGTATGAGGCTTGGGACAGTTCAACCAGCATCTCTTGAATGCCATTATGAAATGGAACTATGGCTTGGGTTGCTTGTGCCTATGGCAGGTCCATAGCATCGCCATGTTACTTTCCATCAAACTATCAATAAAAAATAGCTAGAAAATATGCAGAGGAGGTAGTTTGCTCACTTGCTTTCCTTTGATTGTAATCTGGATTTAAATTGAATGGAAATTCTATTAACCTGATATCTGTATTGGACTACACAGACCAGGAATCTTCTAGTTTTACCAATCCTTTACAAACAAATGTAAATATATGCTGTTATTTCCACATAATGAAACAGTCTACATTTGAACGTAATTTTTGCAGTGAATTTAAAATGATACATTTGAGAACCTATTTGCTTGTCTCATCACTTAGGAAAATTTAAATTAAAAAATATTACTTAACTCCTTGCTATTTTTTATTGATTCTTTTTCTCTTGTTTTGTGTAAGAAGTAGAATTTGTAAATATTTTATTCTGTTGATTTGTCTCCGAAGTTTTAATTGTGTCTATTCACTGACTTGGTATTGTTTTAAAATAATATTCTTTCCCAAATATGACCTACATTAACACCACATTAACACAAATTTTTGGAAAAGAAACTCTTATTGCCGGGCCCTGGTTCTGAAAAAGTGGATAAATCCTGTTGCTTCTTTTTCTTGTGAGTATTTTTCAGCTCTTGTGGCTGTCTCACATCTGTGTCCATACTCCTCTATAATTCCAATCATTCTTTTCTTTGCATATCTTTAGAAATCAAATTCTGCTATTCCTCTCTGGGTCTACTTCTTTTCTTCTGTCCAAAGGAAACCACTCACAAACCTTTCTGGGCCATTTCTCACAATCAAGCCTTTTCATGTGATGAAACCATTTCAGCCTTAGTTTTTTCCAATTCAGTGATAATTGCTTTTTGAACCTTTATTCACTCAATAATTAATTCATTTCTAATATGTTCCATTTCATATACTCTACAACTTCTTATCAGAATCCATTTGTAGACTCATAAACTTTTCTCTTTTTCTTTTCCTGAATTCATAAGAACAGAAAATAATAAAGGAACCCAAAGGGTTTCCAACTCTATGTAAGCCTTGTTCAAAGCACATGAACACAATATCCAAAACCTGATCCAAAACAAAGATCTACATTCTCTAGAGACTTGATTCTCAGGTCTCTCGAGGCAAAGTTGGCAAACGGACAGTGTAAATCAAAGGACACTTCTACACAGCCCTACTTTTGTTGCCAGCAGCAAAGCTGAATTAGCTTCAGAAAATGTGATTTCTCAAAACCCGTGTCAGTTAGATCACTAATGTACCAATGTGAAATTGGTGAATATCTCAGACTACTAAGTCAAGAAATTCAAATATTTTGCTGTAATGCCTGAATATTCACATTCTTTTTGTTGGTATTACTTGTCTTTCTGTTTAACATCTGCTTCCAAATATCGCCTTTGTTCAGAGTTATTCAGTGGGTACAACAATTTGATAAACTCTTGACTACTAAGCTACATGGTGAAAATTTAACAGAAAAGAATGGTTGTATTTTATTCTTCTCATCTTGAAACTGGAGAAAAATATTTTTTTATATTCTGACAGTTCTCAATGAAAAAATTAATTTAATAATTGTGTGATATGCTTGAAATGTGATTATTTTGCCCTTGCTCAATTTTTTTGAATACATATGTATTTTAGGCCTGTTTAAATAAATATCAATTTAGTTTCTAGTCTAGTTAGATGAGACTTGTAATGTATATTTTTCTGATGTGGAATTGTGTCTCTAGAAATTGTAAATGTTTTTTGTAGTATTAGAAATCATTCCAAGAATGAATGTAATATTTGTATATTTTGTTATAAATAGAAAAATATATTTTTATAATATTTAAAATTTGCAATGTATATGAAAATGTAATTACTGATTTACTCATAAATATAAATCTTGAAAAATGTTGAGTTGAGTAAACAATTTAAAAAATAACTCAAAAATTTTAATATGTTAACATATATTTATTGTCTAAAATATGGACGGATTAGTTACATGTAAGTACAGGTGGGACGTACTTTTTGTGATACATATAAATTATTTTTTAAATAAAACTACTGAGATCTATGTTGTAAGGATGTCACATATCCTTAACTGGAAAATACTGAAACTCAGACACTCAGCACTGTGAACTTCAAGACTACTCCACAGGTGTGCAATTAGTTGACATCTGAACATATTGTTACTTCAGTAACATTTTACATCTAGTTTACACGAAAAATATAAATAAATACATTTTTGGTTTTCTGACTTAGGGATGATAAAGAGAAAATGAGACTGTGCCAATATTCCCATCACTTCTTTCATACCTACTTGCATTTATTTATAATGCATTTTATAAAATTACTTAAGCATTAATGGAGTACATAAGTATTATGGCTGATATGGATAATTAATCAAAAGAACTTAAGTTGTACTCTCATATTTCTATTTCATATACTCATTCATTCTTTAAAGAAAATAAGTTTTCTAGAGAGCTTCTTAACCAGTCGTTAATTTATTATGGAATTAAAAACCTTCCAAAATGCATAATTTGTGCTCTTTAGAGCAAAAATTAGTTTTCTAAGAATCTATCTGTAGTTTCTTTTCCTATTAGAGAAAACTGATTCTAGTGAAAGAAACTACAGACATATAAATTAAACTAAATTCTGTAACCTGAGTGTGTCTTGTATACAAATAAAGAATATGTATGTACAAAAGAATTAGCCATCCAGGCATAGTTTCCTTTTCAACTTAGTCTCTCATATTGTCAGGTACTCTGTTTCACTAAGTTGTTTAAATAAACATAGAAGTACATACAAAAAGTAGATGTTTGCACATGTACAACGATCAAGACACTGCTTCACATGATTCAATTATGAAAATAAAATTTCATTGAAATTATCATGAGGACATTCTACTGGACGGATGGTATCACATTAAGTTAACTTATAAATACTACTTGCTCATACTGCTGCATATGTTTTTCCATTTATATACCTGTAATTGGTTTCTTCTTCTTTTATATCATCTTCCTCTTCTACAATATCTTCTGCCTCTTCTTGATCAACACTATCTTCTCTTTCTGCATGCAGTGATGAGTCACTTCTGATTGCTTGTGGAGCAATAGATGATAATGGAAGGCCTAAGCCCCGTGCAACCTTTTCCAATGTTGAAATTCCAAGATAGTAAGGAAGGTTTGCACCAGGTGCAGAACGACGGAATTCATCAATGAGCTGTTGAGCTCCTCTTAAATCCCCAGTGGAGACTTTATGTTCCACCATTACTGCATAAATATCTCCCCGGCGAACAGCAGTCTCGTAATCTGAATTGGGATCTGTGTAACTTTCTAACATTTGTCGACATTGACTTAAAGCTGTTTCAGCATCCCCTCTATCAAATAGCCTGAATGAAAAATGATTAAAAGACATGTGTTTCATAAAGCAGAACAATGAAGACTAATTGTCAGCATAAAGAATAAACAAAGAAAATGCAGTTCATGAAATATATGCACTATTATTAAACAATTTGAATGTACTAATTCATGGGTATATTTTGATTAATTTAACAACATGCAAGAGATAAGATAACATTGGTAAAAACGAAAGAAAGGTATTTCAATAATCTACTTGAAACAGAAGAAAATTATTGAAGGCATTTTTCTTCTTGACTAAATTAACTTCCCTTGAAAATATCAACCTCTGCAGAAAGCAAATGCTGACTAACTACAATGGGTATGTAAAAGACTTTTACGGTGGCTAGTTTGACTCACCTGCGTATTTCTACAAATCTTCTAACAACAGACATACGATTATTCAAATTTTCTACAGCTCTCTCATGCTGCTTTGGGTCACGAGGTTGAGACACTTTAGAGAGACAACGACTAGCCTCTGAAAGAGCTCCCAAGGCTTTTTCATAATTTTGATACTCATCAATTTCCACCTGAAATGTTCAATAAGAGTAGCTTTGCTTTTCTTTCATTGTGGATTATGAATGATGAAAAACAAGCAGAAACATTTCTTGATTCTAGTATTTTGTTTTAAATGAATAATCAAAATAATAAGACTTCACAATTATCTTTTTCTCACAGATAGAAACACTCATACATACACACACACACAAGAAGACCACTTACTTGAGCACATGCAACATAGAAATTGGCAAGTAACTCAGGAGCTCTCCCTTTGCTGTAAAATTGCACTATATTCTTTAACACACTTGGATCATTTTGCCAATCTAAGGACTGCAAGTAATTGGCTGCCATTACATAAATTTCTCTCTGCCGGGAAACATTTGCAAAGAAGATAATTTTCTCAGTGTCTCCAGATTTGAGTAAAGCCTTCATAGCTTTCACCTAAAAAGAAATGAGTAACAATAACCTTAAAAAAGGTGACACTGAAATATATTTTTTTCTTTTTATTAGAGATATTATTAAGAGAAATAAATTATGTAACACTGGAAAGGATATAAAACAATAGGGTAAAAAAGAAAGAAAAACTAACTTGTAATGTGAATTTTCAAACAAAGATCTGTGAAAGGATGATTGACTTACTTTGTTACCAGCCTGTGTAAACTTCTTTGTGGCAAGATGATAATTTCCTTGTGCCATTGCACTCTCTGCAACTTTTTCAAGGACCCGAACTCGTGTACCCTCATCACCCTCTCCTTTTGCCATAGTGAGTTTCTCAGCTAGATCCTCAGTTACAGGAATATTTTTATCTAAGCACAGATCCAAAGCTTCTACATACTGCAAATAAAGAATAATGAAATTTTTTATGTCTTCTCATAGCAAGTAGTCCTCTACAGTAATGTTACTATACAAACAGTATTTGATTGATCATTATATTACTTACACTTAGAGTTTTGAAATGTCAATATGCACATTGTTCTTATTGTAAATAGTATACCATTACACTACTTAACCCTAGACGTTTTGCCCGCTCAATTTTTTCTCCCCTCTACATGTTCTTATTTTTAATGAAATAATAGGAGATACTCATAAAGGCCAAAACATATTATAATATAGCCAATTGCATTCATTGTTGTACAAATGAATACAACTTATTTCATCAATGGTTACCTGTTTTCCAACAGCAAGCAAGTCAACAGCTTTGTCGAACTGTTTGTTTTCAACAAAGAATTGAGCACATTTGAGAATGAGTGCTGGGTCCGAGTTTGAATTCAGATCAACAGCTATATGTTGAAGGGCATTGTACTGCTGAGTTCTGGAAGGAAAAATGTATGTTACACTAATTTTCAACATATTCCAAATTTTGATATATTGGAGAGTACACGTAACAAATTACATACTTGAAAGCAAGATCAAGGGCTTTATGTAACATTCCTGCTCGATGAAACAATATTACTGCTTTATCAGGGGAAGCTCTCTCACTGCTCTCAAAGTATCGAGCTGCTTCCAGTTGTTCTCTAGGACCTGCTAACAAGGCTAGATTCCATAGTTGGTCTTCTATTCCATGCTCCTAAGGAACACAATTAATTCAGTACACTTCTCCAATATTATCACAGTGCTGATATATAAACTATTTGTGATACAGAATGGCATTGACAGTCCTGCACTAGTTAATTTCCTTATCTCTTTAGTCTGGGCTATCCTTTTGGTTTTGTGCTGATTTTTTCTCAGAACTTTTTTCCCTTCACATTTTTTTTATTTTTGGTCCCCTAATAGTGAAATTGAAATATGTCTAAGAATATTACAAAAGAGGAAAACCTGGTGCTATATGAAAAGTTTTGTTGAAACATTTGGAGCCACTTTAGAGAAAATGAGTCGTTTGAGCATTTCTGAAAATTCGCATTTTGAAGCTCATTATCACCGAAAACTTTTGAGTTTTCGAAAAACTTCATTAGAAGTTATTTGAAGCAAATGCATTCACAAAAGCAGTAATGTATAAGAAATGCTTGTAATGAGAGAGGTATAAAAAAACAATACATTTGTGAAATTTTTGGAAAACTAAATTAATACAGCAAAATGGCATTTATGTCAAATATAGTGTGAATTTACCATTTTTCATAGAAAAAAAATTGGAGCTGTTTAGAGAGAAAATGGCATTTAATTGTTTCTGAAAAAGCATAATTTGGAGCTCATTTTAACAGAAAACTTCTTAGTTTTTGAAAAACTTAATATGCCATGATTTAAAACCCTTATACTCTCAAATGCAATAATGTGTACAAATCGACAGTAAAGTAAATATTAATAATAGAGAGAGATGCAAAAATTACATTTATATAATTTTGGGAAAAAGAAACAAACAGCACAATGAAGTTTATGTCATCTTATAAAATTACATTTAGCATTTCGTCCTCGAATAGTGAAAAGGATGCTTAAGAGAACTATGCAGGTCTCATTCTTTTTGAAACCCTTTATTGTTTGAAAATTGCAAAAGTGCAAATTTTTTAAGTGTCTTTCTACAAATACAGTATTAAATACAGATTGTTTTCCTTAATGAAGGAAGAGGATCAAAAAGAAACAGTGATACATGTAAAGATGAAGAGGATAGAAACAAAAACCATGACTGGGATGATTTTAATGAACAAGAAAATAGTGTAATTCAGATATAAGTTAAAACATTCTCATCCACAAGACAATTGTTCAATTAGACAACTTGCCATTTTATTATTGACTAAATAGTAAGAATTAGTTAAAAAATTCTCGCAAGATCTCTTCCAAATTAGGGGGTTGTCTTATATTCATAGTTGACTTATATTCGGGTAAATACTGGCATTATCTTGCTGATGATATGGAATGACAATTGAATGATGAATTCAATGTAATACTAAATATGAAGGTTTTGGCCAGTTCAATTATGTAAAGAATAAATGAAATTTCTAAACTGAATACTCTAAAGTATATATTCTCTTTTACACAGATATAAAACATGACAAACCAAAATGGACAAAATACTCATTCTAGATATTGCCACATGAATTAATAAACAATTTATACTTGACAATTTTCACAAAAGTTGTGAAGATTCTTATTATGTTCAAAACTTGTAATACCAACTCACCTTACAAATGCGAACTGCATTGCTGTATGCTTCTGCTCTTGTGAAAAAGTGGATAGCATCACTGATTCTACCATCTGCTTCATAGTGGCGAGCCAAATGGTAGCAGGCTGCGCGATCTCCTGAGCTGCTAGCCACCTCAGCTGCTTTCTCAATGTCATGTTGGAAGCATAAGACTCGAACCAACGAGAAATAATCTTGAGCTTCCTCATAAAACTGGAGGGCTAGATCCATTTGCCCTGTACTTTCCATGTACTGTGCCCACCATTTTGTTAATGCTCTGTAGATCACAAACAAAAAAGCAATTAAAATATATTACAAAAAATAATCAATAATTACTTACATTAAGAAATGAAATAGTTTTGTCGTAGTATGTCAAGATTTTTCAACACAAAAATTTGTTTGAAAGGGTTCTTGACACTTTTAACTTATAAGTATAGTGGCATATTGCTATCCAAACCTTTGAGAAATGTTACCAAGAGAACCCTACTGAGTATACCCTACTTTGGTATAAGCTGGGATGAAAAAGTATTTCACACACTGATATTCACACTCTAAAATTTAATTTTTGAAGAACTGAATTTTGTATAGAAAGTAATTAATAATTTTTAACATTTCACAAATTTAATATTAAGGCAAATTTTGAGTAAATCAAATTTACAAGTGGAAAGTGATTTTATTGCATTGAATGAAGGATATATTTTGTACTTATTTGTAACAGTTGTATGAAATTATGTCATATTACAAAAGAGATTGGGTTATGTTGTACCATACTATTTTAACACAATTAGAGAATTAAAATCTTCAGCATATTTGAGGTGCATAAAATATCGATTCCCTAGAAATGCAAGCTTATCATGAAGAGACAAAATATTCTCTCACAAAGTCATCCTTGCTTTTACTTTAACTCACTGGTTCATTCACAAATTCAAGAGGTAAGTAACAGGAGGTATTGCTCTTAAAATGTGTGCAAAGGAACATAACATTACTTACGGGTCTTTGGCCTTGATTATATAATTTTCAAGGCTGAGAGGATCTTCCAATAACATTCGTGGTACTTGGAAACGGTGCGTGTCTGAACGCTCATACATATGTGCAGCACCAGTATAATCTCCTTTGGCCTCAAGATGACAAGCATAATTAAAATACGTTGCTCTCAAATGAATTCTGTCTTGTTCTTCTGCAACTCTTAATGCTTTCTCCCACTCTCCAGCTGCCTGATACATTTTATTCAGCAAGTCAAAACGACCACATGTTGTATACAACCGCTCCGCTTCATCCTAAAAGAAAAAAAGAAGGAGGGAAAAAAAAGAAGGAAAATACTACAATAAAAATGTTGTAGGACACATGTAATACATTTTTTATAATTTAATTATTTATTAATTTGTGGTATCTGATTAACAGAAACAATTATCCTTGAATAATATAATGGGATACAATATCTCACTCATAAATCACAGACAACTTCTTCACTGACTGCAGTGGCATCTACCTAGAGACAGTTCACTCACCAGCATACCCAGTTGCACTGCTAACATGCCTACTTGTGCCTCCAGTTGAGGCTCTTTCTTGGCTTCTCGAAGCAACATAGCACCACGTGCATGTTTCATATGTCCAAGGCACACTGAAGCTACATCAAGACGTTTTGTTTTCACACACATTCTAGCCAAACTTTCCCACACAGCTTCACTGCACATGTGAATCAAAACGAAGAAATAAATTAGTTGATCATAAAATGAACAAAATTTAGAGAAGAATCATTATGAAGGAGTGCATTTTTTCTAATGCTAAGTTTGCAATGGACTTCAATTACATTTTGAGAGTTTGAAAAAATAAACACTTAAAACAGAGGAAGGTCTCATTAGAATAGAACAACCTCGTTTGCTATTGACAATAATTCACTTCCTGGCTACTACAATTTTTGCTGTTAAAGGAAGCACTTCATCATCAATTAAATAACTACCTAATACATAATTAACAACTTTCTATGTAAAACTTTCTCAATTACATTAAAAAGCTCTTTCCTTGTCATCTGTGTCTCAGCCTCTGCATCAACTAATTTGCAACACTTAAAAGTCTTCTTTGAGTTAACAGATCTCCACACAGTTGCATCTAATAAAATGTAATAAATTATAATCATACCTTTTCACAGTTTTGATTGCTCGAAATGCTTCATCCATGTTGCCAATACTCAGGTTGTAACTAAAATGCAGGACTGCATCTCTTGTGCTTTTGTCACAGGTTTGCAATCCCTCAAAATCCCTCATTATCAGCTTTTCTGAATTTGTGGCTGATGTCTGAAATAAAATGTTTAAGATTTGTTTAAACATGTATATGGTTCAATAAACAAACAAAATATATATATTTACTTACTTGGCTGGGTTTCTTCAATAGCAGATAATGAGGTGTATGAACTCCAAGCAATTTAGTGAAGTCCGATGACATTGGAAAAATATCTTGAAGAATTATTCCTTGTTCTGGAGTAGTGAAGATTGTTACTAAAAGCACTTCTTGTTGCTGTAAGATCAGGAAAAACATATTTCATATTGAAAAGTCATAGCAACTTAAGGTAAAACAAAACATGCTGAATACATTACATTATGTACAGTATTCGAGGATTTATCCTCACCTCAAGGTGACAAAACACCTTCGACAGTCGACCATGAACTAGTGAAGTGGAACGACTCAAGTGGTCCAATGTGGCCAATCAAGTTAATAATAATAATAATAATAATAATAATAATAATAATAATAATAATAATAATAATAATAATGTACAGTATTGCCTAATGCATTTTTTGGGAAGTTGTAGATAACAAAAGAGCGAAATGACTGTTGCAACACATAAAAATGTCAAAATCTAAAATGTAGATAATTTAGTATCTTTTAGAGCTAACTTTTTCAATTCTGCAATCATGGTATTTAAATATTCAGTTCAGAATAAGAAAATTGTGTAGAGTAAGTACCTAAATTTCCATGGCACAAAATTTAAAACTAGTGTTGATGCTACACTACATACTTTTTATTATTATTTGTAACATTTTTGTAGTATTGGGAATATAATACTTGTTGAAGCTGCAAAAGTGTTTCTAATTTACAAAAAAATCTGCCAGAGCTGCGATTTAATCACAGACACAAAGGCCCCTAAAGCAATTGACATTTTCGAGAGCTGGGCTCCATCCAAATAACTTCCAAAAATTAAAATATCTGTTTGAAATTCAAGTCAGATCAATCAAGGATTATAAATTTTAGTGAAAATCGTGTGCATGGTTTGAGAACTACTGTTGTTCACAAGCAGATGGTCAGACAGATTGAGAAAAATAGTATAAGCAACTATGCATTTATAATGTTTTTCTCTATTGCATAAATATATGGTTTGGAAATGAGTGACATTAAGAGCGAGTTTTCAAAGTTGTATGAATGCAATAAAGCAACATTATAAATGAGTTACACACACAATTTTTCATATCACATCATTATACATTTACTTATTTACATTTTTACAGGCACTCACCCAATTGATACATAACATAATAGTTTGTTTAACTAAAATAACAATAGATAAAATTTCTACAGTCGGTACAAAACAATATAGTTTTATTTGATAGTTATATATAAAAAAAGTCTATTGATTACTAAAATGTTTGAAAAGAATTGTTAAATTATAATAGTCACTCAATTACTAGCTTTTACAACAATGAGTCACGACCATGAATTAAGTGAAAGTTAAAGTCAATTAAGAAATAGTTTAAGTTGTACAATATTTTGCTTCGTAACAAAATTGAGGGTGATTTTGACATAATTAAAATGATGAAATAATTGATGTCATCTTAGTCAACTTGATGAATTTATTCAGAGAGACTGATTTCTATAGATTTGCTGTCATCAGTCTACAAAAAATATATTTTATTTATCTTATTCGTTAACTGATGTTTCTTTGAATAAAGCTATCATGTTCATGAAGATGACTTCAATTATTTCATCATTTGTAGCAAAAGGGATTTCAGTGACTCCTTTACATTTATTAGCAAGTTTGCACACACTCTGAATTGAGGCATTATACCATGTTTGTTTATGCAGTTGGTACTGAAAAGGTATAATGATTTCCTCAGTTGATGCATGGGTATCTTCCATAATATCTTGAAAATAACTAAATCCCATCAATTGCTTGTTACACAGTTTGAAAAGGAAAGTCAAGCCTTGAAATTGCATATATTGTCAACTGAGTTTGTAACAACTATTTGCGCTATTTGTGTAAAATCATGGGTAAAGAACAGATGGTAATTTGAGTTTCCAAGCAAGAAAATTTAGATACTTGTGCTGAAATGTTTCCAATTTATTGTTAAAAAGTCATATAAGATGGAACCATATTTGAGAAGCACATATTACAATTGGCCTTACCAAAGTAAAATAGAGTATTTTAAGAGAATTAAATTTTTTAATTCAACTTTTTTTCTTCACAAAACCAATAATTGGGTCAGCTTTATTAACATTATGGTCAACATGTGCATCAAATATTTGGGCCTTGAGTGTTTCAGTTTTGTGTCAAACATTACCCTGAGGTCTTTAATTTGATCAACTGCTTCCAATCTGTGTCCACATATGCTGTACAAATATGTTATGGGAGACTTCAAGTATGAGAATTTCATAACTGTACATTTATTGATTAAAATTCAGCAAATTCCAACTGCTCCACTTCAATAATGCTTGCCTGCTGAAGAATTTTACTGTTATCTACAAATTTGACTTCCTTGTACAATTTCCAGTCTTTTGCATCTTAACATCACGTCTCTTAATATTTCTTGGGCATTGAGAATATTGGAGTAATCCCCCATTAATTTTTTGTCTCGTCACATCGCAGTCAGCCATGCTTTTTATCCGTTCGGTCAGGGGCGTCGTGCCGTTAGTAACCAGGATTCCCAGATAGTCACCCAATCTGGAATTTTTTCCAGGGTCACGAATTGCCTAACTTTCACAACTTCACAGACCACAGTACAGTAATTTGACTAACAATGCTGGCAAATAAGATTGCAAATAATAGAAATGGGCATGTTGGTAATATAAATTGTATGGCGTTAATAACAATAACAAACTTTTTGCCATTAAAAAACAATAACAATCCTAAATTAGTCCTTGGGATACATCTGAATAGGTATACTAGATATTTTTGGGAACAAATTCTGTAGTTAGCAACACAGATGTTAGGATAAAAACATTAGGCAGGGAGAACAGGCAATGTCAACAGATGAAAACAATTGATGGTAAGGATGGGCATATGTGCATTGTAAAATATCATTTTCTCTATGACTTCTTGCAACAGAATAGGTCCTTTATAATGCTGATATACATAAATACTGTTTCAGTATCAAGGACCCCAAAATCTTGGATTTAGACACCAACATGTATTGGAGAAAGTATTTACTACAAATAGAAGCTGGAAAAATTATTTTTTTGGGGTTTGAGGATCCACAAAATAAGTTTTTGCCAAACATTTGGGACTTTTTCCGGCAACAATTCATGCATTAATTTGCCGCTTCCAACTTTCTATGATGTAGTTATGAGAAACCTTTGGGGAGCAGACAAAGAATAATAATGGTATAGAAAAAAGGAATTTTGCCACCTATAATAAATTAAAAATAACTAACATATTCTTTAAATATAAAGATATTCATAAATATACTTGGAATGCTAAAGGATGGAGATCACTTATAGATTATGTTATAGTTAACGAGAAATTATCAACTCTAATTCAAGATACAGGAGTTTATAGAGGCAAAGATATATACTACGATCACTATTTGGTTGTCTCAACTATTAAATTACTAAGTAGATGGAAAAACCTAAGCCCCAAAAATAAAAACAATCTAGAAGAAGGTTTTAAAGTACATCTGCTATAAGAAGAGAGTATTAAAAAGCTATATCAACAGAGACTAGATAATTACTTAGCAAATATACCAACAAGCGACGAAGTAAAGAAAGAATGGGAAAATATTAAAACCTGTATAGAAAAAGCAGCATTTGGAAAGAAAAAGAAGTTCAGGAAAAAGAAAGGGCTCAGAGTAAGGAATGAATAACTTACAGAAGCAGTGGCAGAGAAAAAGAAAGCGTACTTGAAATATCTTCAAACACGAAATGAAGAAACTTAAGAAAGAATATAACTGCTGTAAAAAAGGAGCCAAAAGGCTATCTCATATAGCACATCAGGAGGCATGGGATCACTTCATAAATAATATAGAAAATGATATTTATGGGAAGCAAGTACTAGCCTATAAAGTAATGAGACAACTCAATCAAAAAGAAAAAGATACCATTCAATTGAAAGTTATAGATGAAGAGAAATAACTAAAATTATTTTAATAATTTATTATAAAATTATTATAATAATCTATGGTACAACTCACTGGAAGAAAAGGAAGAATAAAAGAAAGATAAAATTGATCCACTAACAATAGAAGAATGATTACAAGTATTAAAAGAAATGAAATGTAGAAAAGCTACTGGTATAGATATTATAAACATAGAATTACTAAAATATGGAAGCACTCTTCTCTGTTTAAAACTGTTACATCAATACAATCTGGCTAAGAAGCACAATGCAAGAAGAATAGCACACAACCCTAATATAATATAAAAAATAATACCGTCTGTGTTTAAAAAGGGGGATTGGAGCAACTGTGAAAATGATAAGAGGTACTAGCCTCTAAAACATAACATAAAATATACAGTAAAATCATCCAAAAGAGGATTAAGACGACTGCTGAAGTTATATTATTAGAAGAACAAAATGGCTTCAGAAAGGGAAGATCCTTCACAGACAATGTTGAACCAAATACTAGAGAAGTATACGTAAGCTTTTGCGGCTCGCATCCATGAATTCTCGGCTATCCGGGAGACGCCGCGTCGTTGGCTGGGGTGCCGACGTTTCACCTTCCTCAGGGCAGTGACCAGCCCCAGGACAGTGAGGAAGCCTGCGACATGTCAGGCGAAACATCGGCACCCCAGCCAATGACGCGGCATCTCCCGGATAGACGAGAATTCATAAATACTGGAGAAAAGAAGAGAGTTTAATTTAGACATGCACAGGAGAAGTTTATGGGCTATAAAGGATAGAAGAGGCTTTCCATAACATTTAACAAACGTAGCTAAAAGTCTATACAAACATACGAAGATCCGAATCAAAATAAATTTACATCTATCACAACTATTAAAAACTAAACAAAAATTAAAACAAGGTTGCAGCCTTTCCCCAATATTATTTAACATCTATATAGATGAAATTCTTAGAGAATGGAAATTAAAAGTAAAACAAGGGATCAGATTGAATGCAAATAATTATATAAATACTCTGCTATTTGCTTATGACCAAGTTATTGTGGATGAAAAGAAAAATGATCTCCAAATGGTACTCCATCAATTAAATTTAAGGAGTAAAAATTTTAACATGAAAATATAAAAACAAAAAATGAAGGTTATACAAGTTTAACCAATTAGAATAAATATATGCCTGGAAAACCAAACAATAGAACAAGTATCACATTTCAATTATCTGGAATGTGATGTAAGTTATAACCGGAGCCAAGATACAAAAAATAAATTTCACAAGTTCCAATATATATGCAGTATGCTACACAGATCATTAAGAAATAAGACTAGAAAAGATACAATGTTAAAATTCTATAAAACAATGGCAACACCAATAGTTCTACAGGGGAGTGAAAATTGGATTCTCTCAAAAAAAAAAAGTATTTAAGCTACAAAGATGACATATTTAAGGAGAGTAAAAGGTTGCACTTAGCTAGATAAACAAAGAAATGAAGACATAAGAAAATAATTAAATATATATGTAGTTTAAATGATTCTATACAACTATATAAACAAGACTGGAAAAAACATTTAGAAAAGGTGGAGCACAATAGGCTACCTAAACAAGTGCTGCAACTGGAAGAAGTGTAGGAAGACCACACAAAAAATGGTTTGATAAAGAACAGGCAGTCACCTAATCCTTGAAGTACAGAAGAAGAAGAAGTTATGAGGAAATTCAAATAAAAATCAACAGTCAAAAAATAGATTTGGTCAGCTAAGAAATATTGCATCCTTTTTAGTTTCCTTCCAGGAACTTTATAATTATTGCCCAAAATATTTATTTCCATAATAATTCTGCCATGATTCCAGAGTTGTGGTAAAAGTCTGTAATAATTTTAAAAACATGAAATACTTATGCTTGTTAACTCAGTGTTAGTTTTCAATTGCTCACCATTTCCTGGTCTTTTAAAGTAGCAGCATCCGGTAGAGTAACAGTTGATGTAGACACTCTTCTTGGCCAAGAAGCTACATCCTTATTACGTGAAGGCTTGGGAAGGAGTTTGGCTTCACACACTAATAATTTTGGTTCTTCAGCATCCCACTGGTGAGATAATACAAATCGTCCAGACAAAGTACGTGCTGGAGGCTGTGAACTGATGAGTAATAATAATAATAATAATAATAATAATAATAATAATAATAATTTTTGACTAGTATCCCAAACTAACATTAAGAATAAAACAACATTCAACATCAACTATATTTTTCTCTTTTTTTTTACTTACAGTGTTTCACTTTTGCTTTCATCTGATTTTGCAGAACCTTCTGGAGTAGCTCGCAAATCATCAGCTTCTTCTTTGTCCATTTTGCCCGAAGCAAAGTTAAAATATGACAGAGTATCTGACTCAATATCCCACAAATACAGTCTTGTATCGGGCACAAAATTTGACTGAAATCCACAAAATATCAAGTTAGAAAATTTTTTAAGCAGAACTGATACACTCTAGAAATTTATAGAAGAAAATGAGGGATTCTGAAAAGTTCTTGACCTTGTCTATTGATTGCAGACCTACTCATGTGATTTTCTTCTTCACAAAGATATACATTTTAGTAGTCTCAATGGAAAACTGTCACTCCATCCAGCAGTGCTGAATGGAGCTTTCCTAATAAGATGTGGAGCCTCTATTCTTGGAATTATAAATAATCAAGTACGATGCAGCAATTAAGTTCTTTGTAAAATTCATTTACTTTTCACCAAAATTCATTTAAAGGTTAAAAATAATTATGGCAATTTTTCTCCTTCAAATTCAAATCATTGGAAAAGTGCACGATATGGTCCTAGAAGATAAGCTTGAAAGCTGGAAAGGAGCATTTCTGAGGTAATAGGAATTTCTTCTTCGGGATGGATTTCTAAAAATTTCTTCTTGGGATGGGATTTTCAGTCAAATTAAATATACTCTTGACTGTAGACACATACTTTGTAGGACTTCTGGACAAACGCTATGATGGGGTAATGGCGTTGACATTTTGCTGGGAGAAATGCATTACTTTAATTGGAGATCAAATTGAAAAATAAAATTTTGAAGAACATACATTTTCATTGTCAGAATGAGAACTTTTCAGACTACCTTCGTACCCCTGAAAAATATAGACAAGAAAATAATAATTTCAAATCTACAAAACCAACTATTTTATATTTTGCGATATGGGTTTAAAATTTGTGCCCTGTCCCAGAGAGTGTTAAAAGAAAGTTCATTACTTTGAAAACTCCCAAGAACAATCATTTACCAATTTATCATTGTCAATAGTAATGTTCTTTATCTTCATTTTGATATTCAAGTAAATCAGAAAGTTTTATTTATTACAATGAGATGGAAATGTCCCGACTTAATATTCTTAATTTGTAAATAACTTTTAAATTCTTGCACTGCATCATGTTCTTTAAGCATACAAGCCGAGGCTTAGAATGAAGGGAGACAAGGTAGACTATGTTTACTGTTTGAAGAAAAAGGCAAGGAAAAGATTATTAGATTCTAGTATATATAATTCAACATGTTCTTCAATTCTGAGTTGTAGAGCTCCTTCCCAGCAAGGAAAAGCCCGAATCTTTCTTTCCAGGCTTAATCCATAAGGAAATTCTGTGGAAGCATTGAATTGAATTGAATTTGCCTTATTTTACGTGGCGAGACTCGGGCCATCAGGCCCCCAAGCATCACAGTAGAAATCCACGTGAGAAATTTCTTAATGGCTGTAAGATACATCACTTCAACAGCTGGGTTAGACTTTCTTTCTTGTCCAGGAGCATTTCTGTAATCTGTGATCAGTCCTTTTGTTTGACTGCAGATGTGCTATACTTAAATGTTTTAAAAATATGCAGGTTTTGAAAGTCTTAACTGCAGGAATCTTAAAATAATGAGGGAATTGCAGCTTCTAAAAATTCTTACATTAATGTTGGTGTCTACCTGTTTGATTTTGTCATGCTTCACTACTGCATACATGATAATTTATCATGAGAATAATGATACCTTTGCTATTGTAATAGAGACTTTGGTTCCCTTGCTGTTACAACATGCTGAAATAATTTCCCCAAAATCAGAGATATCTTCTTCAAGATTCTTGGTAGATGTATGTGGCTTTGCTTCTCTGTAACAAATTTTAAGATCAATTTCAATTAGATCTATTGATTAAAACAAAGTAAAAACAGGTTATTGTCATGTGATATATACGATACAGCCAATGTCTGAATCAGTCTAGTTTACAAATTAAGCAATTAATATTCAAATTATTCAAAATAGGTGGATATAGTCTAAATAATAACAGCTCTGAACATTCTTCTGACTTAAGCTGTATAAAATTGACTTTAACCATCATGAGGTGATTAGGGTAAGGTAAAGTACATTAGTGATTAGGAATAGCAGATATGAGATAAATAGGTATCAGACAGCTGTTGGGAAGTTTCTAAGTCTTCCAAATTCGCAACAAGGCTTGGGCCTTCACAATTAATGTAACCTTAGGCCTTCACAACACATAATTTCCCAGGATTTTTAAGGGCAAAATATTTCTCGCAAATATGCAAGTCACCTCACGCTTGGTCTATCACCTTTCTTTAGCAAACGCTCCGTAGCTAAGGCCAACATTGGCCAGATGATGTTCAAAATGTTTCCTTAATTGTCATTCTTAACCCCTTCATCCAAACATTTGACTACTGTGTGAATTAACATCAATTCACAAATTAACTACATTTTGGACTGAAGCCACCTTCTTACTTTGTATTTATATTATTTTATATTACTTTGCAAACGGCTTTATATTACTTTGCAAACTGCATGCAAATTACATTAATTTTAAAAATTCAATATTGGCTTTCTATTAGAAACATTACACCACAAATTCCTACAACACGAATTAAAAGAAGAGAAAAAGTTATTTCATAGCACAAAAAGTATCAAGCATTATTTTCAATACACAATTTTCTTAAAAAACTCTCTAAAAACACCCAGAGGTATGCTCTTAGTGCAAAACTTCATTCTTGTTTTCACTCAACAGATTCTACGTTCATGAATAAGATTTATTGTTAGGATAAGTATTCTAACTGTCTGGATTATCAGATGTGGATATTTCCTTATACCTGCGAGACAGATCCCAGACACGTAAGGAGCCACACGTAGTGGCCACACAAAGAAAACTACCACACAACTGCAGACCTAGAGGTTTTCCTTCTGCTTCTGCTAGGGCAAGCGTCTGCTTTACAGCTCCGCTGAAGCTGAACACCTCCACCCTCTCCTCTCCAAGAACAATTGCACTCTGCTCAAAGAGAACTGCAGCCTCCACTTCACTTGAAAAAGATCCTGCACATAAGAATTAAAAACTAAATATAAAGTCTAAATTTAATTCATTACAGTGAAACCTCTCAACAAGACCATCCCTTTTCAAAACCAGTTTTCTATGGAACTGAATTATTCAAGACCAATGCATTTTTAAACTAGAGAGTATGCATAAACCATGACGTTCACATTCTACAGTAATGACATTTCATGACATTTCTGGTGTCCTTCAGATACGCAACTGTGATGAGGCACATGAGATTTCACAAATACTCTGAAGGGAAACCATCCAGGAAATGTACAGAAACTATTGCGTAATTCAGATGATATCTCAGAAGCAAGAAAGATTAAATCCAGAAGCAAAATAATACCTAAGGATTCCGATAATCAGTAAACCATTGACAGACAGAAACACAACTGACTATTCATTTGATTCCATTTTACGAGGCACTGCAGACATGGTAAGACACCAGTCCTTCACCTGTGAATTAGCTAATTAGAAACTAGTTTGTTATCTGAAGTGGAAAAGTAGTGCAACAATAATTGGGCCAGAAAATCAAGTACAGAATCTTATGAAAAACAGTACAGAGATGTCAATAATGCACTACCTGAAGAAGGACAGTTCATAAAGATCACAGCACTGTTCTTTTTGGTAAACATGTTAAGTAATAAATACAGTTGATCAAAGTTATTTAATGTTGCAATACATTAAAGCTTACATTTTAAACAAGAACAGTGTTACTATGCATATCATTGTAGTTGCAGTAGCAGAAATGTGTACAGTTTAATAGTACGATATTTCTCATAAGACGAACACACCTCTAAAGGACGAGTTTTAAGGTTTTTTCACATGGTTGGCTTAAAGAGGTTTCACTGTCTACTCTAATGTTTATAGATAACAAAAACAATTTAGATGGGATATTGGAAGCCTTATGAGATCCTTTATGAAAATTCCATAATACTGCATCACATAGCATGACTGTAAAAGTAATAACATTTTAATTCAAGGAAAGGATGAAGCTACAGAATAACACCAAATTTGATACACCGTTTCTTTCAGAAATTTTATGCCACTAAGGTGAATATTAAGGAACTTCACATTTTGTCACTCCGTGAATTCACTTCTTAACAAGACGTCATGAATAGTTTTGTGTGAAGTAATGATTGAGGTTACAATGTGTCATAAGATACCAATCTATATTTATATTTTTCATTCAGAATAGTAGTTCAAGATGTTTGTTTGATAGAACATACTGGTTAAAATTTCTTGTAAAATAGCATTTCACAAAAACACTCACCAACAACTTTGCACGTAATCTTTGGCGTTTCTCCACTATAATCAGTATTAAGTTGGTATATGACAAGGGTCTTCTTACTCCACACTGCAAGATGAGTAGCAGTGACTGTTACACCACTAATTTGAATGTCTGTTTTGAGATCACAGCTGCAGCCTTTAGAGTTATCTTCTGATTCCATGACCTCTATAGTTAACTGACTAGGGCCCACTTGAACGGCAAGAACCTAAACATTTGGAAAAACAAAACATGCCCCTTTAAAGTGGTGTTCAGATACAATGATAACCAATCTTCCTCATATTTTCTACCTCTTCTTAGAAATATTTAGGAATTGAGCAGTTACTAAATACAAACTAAGATAACAAATAACATTTTATGTTTTGCAGCAGAACAATATTTACACAACACTGAAAATGGCTCTCACAATATGCATTAAAGCCAGAGATGACCAGCCTCTTTTGAAATCATAAGATAATAAAGATGTAAACAAATAAAATTTGAACACTGTAAAATACAACAGAAAACTGGTTGTTTGTTGGAAACGAAAACAAGACCCCAGCATAATTGCATAACGTAAGATTGATACGAGGATGAAAAGAACTGGAATCCCAAGACTGAACAACAATTGCACTCACAATGAAATGACCTTCAACATCCACTTACATGCTGACTGTAGGCAGAACACAATATCTGTTCACGCAACAAAAATACATTGCTGATAGTATTGACAGCTAGTAGTCCTGAAGGATTATTCCATGTCAGTTGTTTGATAGAACCTCGCACTTGGCAGGAGCGCTCCACTTGCCAAAGAAGTGATGCATCCATTAGAGCTCCACTGACATCTCCATCGTCACCGAGGTCTTTCTGCTGGCCAGTGCTCTTCCACATACACACTCGACCCAAGTTGGACCCCCCACAGAGCAGCCCTGCAAAAAGACAAATTAATTTTAACAAATGATTTACAAACCCTTGGTTCAAACAAGAATTTGTTTCAGTAGGTAACAAACATTGAATTGAATTGAATTAATGCCTTGAGGCCCACTCTTCCTTCTGACCATGCAAATTTTGTTACGCTCCTTTCACCAACTAGCAGAGAAAGGAGGGTATTCTTGGCAAGACATAGCATTTAAATTTACTCAGAGTTCCATTTAGCTTGAGGATCTTTTACATGCAGTCAAATCTACTAACATGGGACGCCGGCTTACTTCCCCCCCCCCATCCGAAGAGGGCTACGAAGGGATTTTTTCGCTCTTAAAAATGCAAGGCTTCGATCGGGTTTGAACCCCCTAACTTGTGTACAACAGTTCGATACGATAACTGTTACACCATTGCCACATTCAAACATTATTGTATTATTGCAATATTTATGAAAAAAATTGAGACAAAAATTATCACTTCAATACATACTGTATTTGAGAGGTTTCTTATTAAGTCCAAATTTGTATATTTTGAAATATTGCACCAACTTCTTCCCTACAACAGGAGCTATCTGTTGGGACATTTTCTTTCGGCAAGTGTCAAACTGACAGATAAAAGGTGGGTAAAAATCATAAATGTACCACTAAGCATGTCCATTGTAGAAAGTTTTTTGTGCCTCCTGAAAAATCTTGAATTTGAGCTATTTTGGTTCTTGTAATATAGCCCTTCAATTAAATATGTTTTTAAATGACACAGTTAATAATTATCAATCACTATTACGAATTAACTTTTATTTCAAAATGTAGTTATCTGTCTTTATGCATTTTCTCTACATTCTTTCTAGCAATTAAGTATAAAAATACATCCAGGGACTGGTTTCCACAACTGTGATTTACACCACGATTTGAATTTGCGATGCATACCTTTCTGACTATTGAAGGAAATATGAGTGAATATTTCAGTGGGAAGGTTGCTAGCATTTTCTCCAGAAGATGGAATAGCTTCAAGAAGATAGTTGTCTCCAGAGTCCATGTCCCAACACCGAATTGAGAGATCTCCTGTTGATATAGCTAAAAGGCCAGAACCAGCCCAAACCATAGTTGCGTCTTGAGATCGACCACTTAGCTTCACCTACAAAATATCCCATTACATTTTTGAAAAGTAAGTATCTATAATTCATGAAATCTAGAAGACTTCAACAATATACTGAATAGATGTTTTAAGTTCTTAAAAATGAAATAAAGGGAAATTTAACATGCAGTTTATAACTTGAGGAATTAACTGATTCCAGACTTATCAAATTACATTACTTCAAGATAAAATAAATGAGATTATGAAATATCACAAGTACAAGAAATTCAAAATTGTAATTAGTACTAGACTTTTGATCTTTTCTCTTGAAACTCTTCATTTTTTATTTTGTATACAAAAAGATTCTCTAAACATAGGACACACAAGTATTTAAAATTGAAGGTAATTGGCAGATTATTGTTTAGAAATTGAAATTACTTTTCTTTAAGGCATCTTATAACCAAGGAAGAAAATAGAGATTCTGCAAACACCTTACCTTCATTATTTCTGTTAGGTTGCCTTTGGCATCAACTGCAAACTGTCCAACTGACAGACCTTCTGTCATAACAATAAGATTATCTTTGCCCTCTCTATACAACATTTTCTTTAAAAGAATTCCTTCTAAATTAAGCACTTCTGTTACAGAACCATCTTCAGTGATGTAATAAATAATTCCTGATGTAGAAATACAGAGGATGTATTTTTATTACAAATATTTAAGAAAAAACATTCTGTGAGATAAATATAAGTCCTTTAAAATTCTTACCTGACACAGAACCAACAAACAAAGAAAGGTTGTCCCCATGAGTAGCTTGATATGTGAATCTATTACCAGCTGTTCTTGGCCTCCATGCGCTGAACATGTCAAGAGCTAGTTCGTCACCTGCCACAGCAGCTCGAGCTAAGCCACTTAACAAAAATCAATAATTACTTGCATAAAAAGTATGTGAAGTGCTATGAAGTTCGTGTTTTTATGAATCTTGTTTTGAAAACAGTTTTGGAATGAAAGAATGTCAACACAATTTTTACCTTAAGTCATATCCCATATTTTTCTGTAAATCTTTTCTGAAGGCAATATGTGTAACAGCATCTTTGAGATCAATGTGAAAAACAGAAGAAAAATGACCTCGGGGGTCAACTTTCCAGCCAACCAAAGAACCACCCTACAAGAAAATACATTAGATTTATCAGCAATTACATGTAATATTGTGGCAACAATCGTTCAAAATAAAATTAGAATATTGATATACAGCTCTTTTACACTCTTCACAGTACTGCATTTGAATCTAAGACTTATGAATGTAAGAGATCAAAAAATGTATGCAAATTGGATGTAATACTTACAGTATCTCCCGAAACAAGTCTTCCTCCTTGCTCGCTCCATTCTAAAATAATGATCGGTACTTGATGAGGGGACTCCACAGAAGTAAACTCCTTTTCTCCTATCCAAACCCTTATTTCTCCATTTTCCCAACCAGTAACAAGCAATTTCTTTGATGGATGCCATGTTAAAGTTGTTACTTGGGCAACAGGATGCTGGGGACATGTGACATCTTCCAAAGGTTCACCCTTCAAGAAGAATCACAAAAAACATGTTTCTGAAAATACAGTGTTCAAAACTAAAGCTATAACAAAAAAACAACAACATATTAATCAAATTCTTTTACCAATTCATTGCAAATATTCACAAAACCACCTTTTTCTTGGCTATATGATGACACAGCTAACCATGGGTTCAAAGGATGCCATTCTATTGCTACATTAACAGCTGATGGTTCTGTTATTTGTACTTTGTGGTCAAAGAACACGGACATGCCTAAAAATTGAAAGATAGGTAATAGAAAATGGGTATTTTTTGTGTTAATGGTACATATACCGTGAGAATTTGACAACTTACTTTTCCACAACTGTTCACAATGTCAAGAGTTGACAATATTTTTAAAAAATCCCTGTCAGCACATGCAAACTTTTATACAAAAACTAAACATTTTTATTAAAATAAATACATTTATTCACTGTGAAAATAGAACACACAGTAACAACACTGGAATGCAGAATATTGCAGACGGCATTGTTTGTTTCCATAATAACGTAAAACTTAGCCAGTTATGAATTTTTAACAGATAATTCGTCAAAATACTTTACTTTCCACGCATGAAATACAAACAATGCATAACGATAAGGCACATCACAAACGAGCACCACAAAACCAATGTTTGATTTCGAGGTCGGCATGCACTTGGCGAAGTTACTTTTATTACAATGTTGGTCAAGCTGTTTAATGACAAGCGTTGGCATGGAAACTTGTGACGAAATGAACCGTTGTGCTATCTAGCGTACAGATTTATTACTACGAGCGCGAAATTGATCTCTCACGGAGAATAGATGTGCACAATGACACTTTTATTTGTTTTTTATTGGAATTCTATAGGTTTTTTTTATTTTTTCAATAAAGAAAGAAAACCATTATCTAGCAACTATTTTCTATCTCCCATCTCTATCACTTCTTTAGTATGTAACAGGTCGGGAAATTCGATCTGCAGCTCAATCACGGACCTGCGCAGGAACGTCGCGTGGTGAAGGTATAAGCGCCGGCGGAAGGGCAGCTTTTCGTCAGTTCGTCGGCTGTTCGCCGCCCGGTGTCATTCTTGGGGTGTCGTGAATGTCTGACAATTTTACAATGACATACGTTACATTTTGGAGTTTTTATATTTAATCAAGACCTCATTGTTGATGTCAATAAAAAAAGTGCGCGTTAACAGGTTGACAGTGAAATGACAATTTGTGACAATTTTTGCCGGCAACGTAAACATCTGTTTACGTCGTAGTTAATGTAATTGTTAGTTGTACACGAACTCTTGAATAAATGTGCTGAGGAAATACCTGGGCAGGAAGAAAATTGAGGAATAAAATGACAATGTTCTGGACTTTATTTGTGAGAAATGATTTCTGTCGGGAAGTGTGATTCGTATTCGCGTACGCGTGGGTCGGTGGTCACGGGCGGTGCCATGGGCGCCTTCCGTGCGTGCTAGAGCAGTGGTCGCCCGCTAGCGGGGGCGGCGTCGCGTGGCGCCGGGGGCGGCGGGCGGGCGCCACGGAGACCAGCTGCTCGCGGGGGGCGGGGCGGACGCGGCGGGCGCGGCGGCGCCTCCGCCGCCACTACCACAACGCCGAGCCATGTAGAGCATGCAGCGTCCGCGTGTCCTGCTGGGCACGCTGCTGCTGACCGGCGTGGCGACGGCCATGCTGTGCGGGGCCATCATGACGGACACTGGAGCACGTGTCGTGGACCGTGCGCGCCTGGAGGCGCGCGCGCGGCGTCGGAACGCCTCCTCCTCCGGGCGCGGCGCGCGCGGAGGCGGCGCGGCGGCGCGGGGGGCGCGGCGCGGGCGCGAACGGCGCGGGTCGGCGGCGGCGGGGCCAACGGCGGGGCGGCCGCCCGGGGACCAAAGTGGACTGGGTGCTGGACGGAGTGGTGGCGCGCGTGCACCTGGCCACGCCGCCGTCGGCGCCCGGACGCGCGCGCGTTGCCGTCGACGACATCACGCCGCCCGCCGTCTTCCTGGTGCCCATGCACGGCGGCATCTGGACGCTCTGCGTCTCCCTCACAGGTGCGCCCGCGCCCCGAAGCTGCAAGGTGCTTCCGCGATCTTATATAAAGGCGGCTCCACACATTCGGCATTCGTCGAATAGCGAGCTACTGCTTGCCCAAACCCGAACAGCTGATGTGTGTCGGCGAATGTTCGCTCCCTTTGATGTGAGAGGCGGCTCCACACATTCGGCATTCGCCGAGCAGCCAGCTTCTTGCTCACTCAATCCCGAACAGCTGATGTGTTCGCTCCCTTTGAGGTGTCCTAAAGGCGGCTCCACACATCCGGCATTCGCCGAACGGCGAGCTACTGCTCGCCCAATCCCGAACAGCTGATTTGTTCGCTTCCTTTGATGTGTCCTAAAGGCGGCTCCACACATTCGGCATGCGCCGAGCAGCGAGCTACTGGTCGCCAATTCGAACAGCTGATGTGTTCGGGCGAATGTTTGCTCCCATTGATTCATTGATTGTCCTAAAACCGACACGCGGTGGTTAGGGCGAATACCGAATGTTCGGCGCTCGGCGAATCGGAAGCAACCCGTCCACACTAATTGGGATTCAGCTAGCGGTTGCTCAGGATTCGCCGAATGCCGCATTTGTGGAGTCGCCTTTAGCTTCATTTCACGCCAACTCCGTAAAGCGTAGTATACACTTGGCAACAAAATCGCGAAACTTTGAATGGAGACTCGCGTCCGCACCAAGAGAGCCAGTTCATTTCCTCTCGATGCCATCCCATGCAGTGAAAACATTAAAAGCTGGAAACTAAACCAGTTTGACTTTTTGGGGGATGAGCCACTTTTTTGGATTCCGTAAGTTTTTTGTCCTCTCGCCTAAATTCTCATTTAATGTTGGGGAACTTCTTATCTATCTCGTGAATGGACATTGTGCATTTTTAGCCAGATCCATTTCTTCCCTCCTTCTGTATCCGTTTTTATTGCTGGGTAGACTTAACATTTCAACGACAAGGGTGTGTGTGAAAATTCTTAATAATTTTTAGAGTAGTTTCCATCGCATAACAATAGAACACAAAACACCATGTGGCGGCTATCTATTGACTAGAAACGACGTGTCTCAGGACTTTGTCTCGCCACACTTCCAGACTGCATCATGTTGCGCATCATTTGTATCATGTATCCCATTGCGAATTGGAAACCTGCGTCATGCAACTTCTGTATCGCAGCTGTTCCAAACACACCAAAAAGGCTACGAGACATTCCTGGGATTTGTCGCGATACACGTGTTCTACGACTTTGTCACTAGGTGTGTACTAGGTTTTAGAAGCAAAGAAACTCTTCCAGACATCGTGGTAATCGAGATGTTGTTTACTGGAAAGTCCGTATCTTGGTTAATTGTACTATATAGTATTGTCGACTTCCGTCGAGTTTTTTCATTAGCAACTACGAATGTGGTGAAAATTGGGAGAAAGGAGTACTATCACAAAGACGAAATCACGGGAGATTTATTTTGCAGGTAGGTTTTGCTTTGAATTAAGAAAATGAAATAAAGAAGGCAAAACATCTGAAGTGAAGGATGGGTATGATAGAAAGGGGTATAGTAAATGCTAGGCCAATGTGAGATCGCATTTACAATTTCTCTTAAAAATATATTAAGAAACATCCACAGTCGTGCACCATGTGTAACAATCAGTTAATTGAAGGACTGCTCTTTGCTCACAATAAAAATATCCAGTCCGAACCAATAAAAAGTAGGTCTTTTCAACGAACGGGCATGTGTGAAAGATGGCAGTTGTCAGATTCCTGAATCGTTAAATTATACCAGCTTCCTTCGCTGAGTTGATGGCTTGTAACTGAAATTCGGGAGAGATGCTCCTCTGGGTTGGAAATCCAAACATGTACCACGGTCCGATCAGTCTTAAGATACTGATTTTTTTTATTTCACACGTAGTATTGTTATTTTAATATTTGAATGAATGCGAGTAAAAATTTATCAAACATCACTTGAAGTGCAATTAATGAATGAAAAGAAATCCTACCTTAAGCTGATTCTAAAATTTGACGAGGTCAGAAAAATGTCATTACAGAAAAAAATCCAGCTAGAAGATACACGGTTACTTAATTTAAGGTCTTGAAAGAACGTTGCTGACATCTAAAATGCTACAATAATGATTCACTTTAAGCGATATAATTGCGTAAGTTCTGCGATTTGTGTAGTGAATTTACGATACGTGTATGAACCCTTTTGCTACGCTAGCGTGTTCTCATAGCAATATCACATTTTCTCCAATCGCATGCAAAGGAGAGCTAGCTCTTCCAGTTTTACATCTGTACTTGACAGTTTTAAAGCATGTTTTATAGCCATGTGTGAAGGGCAGTTTTCATAGCTGTTGAATACTACAAAAAATCGTATCGTTCTTGCCATTCGATGAACATATACTACCTCGAATTTATAATATATTTTACAATAAACGGTAAGATTTAGGGATTGAATCCACATACACACACACAGATAAATAACGATGTTATCAATATAGTACAAAAGTAATATTCATGGATCTAACAGAAATACTATAGTTGACATTGCAGTCAGAGTAGAAAGTTTTATGAGGGTTATTGCCAGAAGACATTTTGGCGTAACTGGCCTTACGTTATTTTAAACTAGATATTCAAAGCTTCTTATGTGGCGTTACGTTAGTTTAAAATTATTTAATAAAAACAGTAAAAACTGTATGGGATGTAAGGGGGAGAAGATCATCAGCGCACGTTTTTTTTGAGTTTCGGAATCCCTTCCCATTATTTTAACTATAAACAGTTGAAAGATAAGTAGACGTTAAAGATAAATAAATAAGTAAAAATTAAATTAAAAAGGCGCGAGACTTGCAACAGTTGAAAAACTAGACATTTTCGTTTCCGAGTTATTGAAAACTTGTTTGCAATGGTAAACGAACTGCAGATTTGATTTTTCTGTATTGCTAACAAAATGGTAACTCGCCCTTATCTCTACTCTTACCACTACAAGCAAACGGAGAGCTCAACAAAACGTTCGCACAGTGAAGCTACATTTATGTCTAGAAGCAAAACAAGGGGTCATCTCAGCATTTGCTCAATGTATCAGGGAATATGAACAAAACCTGATCGAGATGGAGGCCATTGACCCAGAAGCTGAAGTACATTATTTGTTACAAGTATATTAAGTCTTTAAAAAAAATATACAATACAAATGTTAACTAATTCATATATCACTGTTTTGTTAAAATAAACATTATTTTTCTTTTTGATGATTGGTATAGTTTCTAATTATATAGAAACAGTTATACAGCAGCAAAGATTTTACTTTTAACTTAAATTTGGGCACCGACTTCAATTGGTTAATGTCGTCTGGCAATGCGTTGTATAGTAACGTACATGTTCGTATTGATGTGGATTTCTGGTAGTGAGCTGTTGATACTGACACTTGATGAACGTAATTTACGCTCCTTTAACTTCTACTAAATGCAACTGGAATCATGTGAGCGACACCTATACATTTTTTTACTGTTTGAGAGAGCTCATTGCACATAATGAATTTTGTCTTTCCAATTGCCATCAGGGTTACCCTACCATCATCCAAGGGAATCATTTCATCGATAAATAGTACACTTCTAACCTTTCTGATCATTAAAAACGAAGTCTGACCGTAGGATTGAATGAAAAAAACAGGCAGTCCTCACGTA